TTGTGTGCGACGCATTGGTGATGGTCCCATTGGGCCTCTCCATCCTCCACGTCTATTTGGGCCACCTCTGGGTCTCTGCTGTGTCTGGTATCGGTTGTACCCTCCTGCACTTCCTTGAGGTGGATAACCTCCTTGTGGCTGGTAGTTTCCTCGCTGCTGGTAGCTCTGTTGTGGATAACCCTGCTGTGGGTAGCCTTGTTGTGGTGTGTACCCTTGTTGAGGTGGCACAGGGTGCACACCTCCTTGTGTCATCATTGGGGGTACCTGTGGTGGCTGTGCTAGTGTCATTGGTTGCGTCGTTGCAGGTGCCTGCGGTGCCACAACTACAGGAGGAGTTGGCTGAGATAACTCTGCGGTCACCACTGGAGCTTGTGTCTTGCTCTTCTCCTTCTTTGCTTTAGTTAATTCATTCAGTTGTAATTGGGTCAATTTGGTGGCCAAGTTTTTGTTAGCTTCTTCTTCTCTTTGTTTTTCTTTTCTCCAATTTTCCACATGATGTACAATGTGTTCAGAGAACAATGGCCATTCCATCTTCATGAGTCCAACCACATTGTCCAGTCGCTTCTGGACCTCTGGAGGCATAGTTTTCTTTATCATCACTTTAAACAGGCTTTTCGTGGTGTCATTGGTGTTCCAAGCACTTCCAGTTTCATCTCTCCACTTCTTCTGAAGTTTATCAGGAACTTAGTTGGACATTCATCGTCCTTCAGCCTTTCACCATCCAGTTTGGATGGATCCATTTTCTCCGGATACAGTCTTCTCAGCTCAGCCCACACTCTAGTCCGATGTCCACTAAAGCCTATGCCATCTGCCATGTTTCCTTTCACTACCAAAGGTAGTTTAGCTGCGTTCATGATGTCTTCCGTGGCGTGTTTCCCCACGACATGCATCAATAGGGCTTTGATGTCTCCTAACGCCAGTGTCACTCCTGCTGTACTCTCTTCCAGTGCTGTGATCCACTTATTGGCACCTTCAGTTAGATCTGGCAGTCTGCTGGCTAGTCCCACCATGTCAGCGAATCCCCAGGCTACATATGCCGTTTGTCCTTGAGCCTTTGTTATCAGTGGGCACATGAGTCCACGATGATGCTCCTCTTCCTCCTCATATTCTTCTTCCTCCTCTTCTTCTTCTTCTAGCAGAGGAATATGTGTAGCACGTGATCGCTTCTTCTTGGGAACTGTGGGTACGATTCTTCTTCCATTCCTTAGCACTTTTACATAATCATTAGTGCCATTAATCTGTTGCAGTTGTCGATTGGTCATTTCATGCACTCTGGTTTCCACATTCTCCAACACTTTTTGTGCTTCTGCATGTGTTGGACTCTCGGTTGTCATGATGCCACTTAGTTCCATTCTCACTGTGTGTGGAGTGCTTGTTAGCACTCTGTCTGAATCTTTGCGGATTTTGTCCCACTGTGCTAGCAGCCTTTTTTCTTCTGCTTCCAGCCTCTCTCCGGATGGTCTCATCCAGTGTTTTCATTTCCTTCATGCGTTCTTCTCGTGTCTTGGGGCTGGCCTGTTCCCATTCTTGTTGTCTTTTCAGCCTCTCCTGTTGTTGTTGCTTTGTTGTGATTGGCAAATCTGACAGCTTGAGTGGGTGTATTCTTCTCCTCCAGCTGTATCTCTGCTGGTGTGTCTTCTGCCACTGTCATCTGGTTCCCATCTTTCTTTCTTTGGTGATGTCTGGGCACTTACTTGCTTGCTTACTATGCTTCCATGAAGGTGCCTTGTAAAGGCCATTTTAGTTTTCCTTTTGTTCTCCCATGCCACTTTTTCATGCATTTTTCAATAAATTCTTTTTGATCCGGGTGATTGTTTATCACCACTCCCATTGGAGTTGCAATCCCTTGTTCCTTCACCATTCCTGCCCCCATATAGCCCTGTCTTACACTATGTGCTGTTCTACGTATCTCTGGTTCCTCGTCTGTGTCTTTAGTTTTTATCGTTACCAGTATCTTATCTACTGTAACTCCTGGCTTATATTTCCTTTCCCTTGTGGGGTTGTATTCTAATCTATCCGTTCCGTCTCCTGCTGGTGTTTTTGTAATACACCCAAATTTGCCTGTTTCCCAGTTAACTCTCCTAGGGACTATTGTGAAGCTCAGTCGTGGATTTGAGGTCACTCTATTGCGCCCTGGTATACCATACCCTGCGGGCAGTCCCAATGCTGGACCTAAAGGTATGGCTACAGTAGCACTAGGGTTGTTGCACAACCGCTCCAACACTATTGCAAGTGTCTTTGGTGTCCACCACCTGCGTATCACCTCTTTCCACGGCACGTCAGGAAACTCGTCCTGCACTTGTGCCAAATTAATGAATTTTGTCAACTGCCACAATTTCTGATTTATCTCCTGTTCAGTTTGCCATTGCTCTACACCATCCTCATCCTTACAGGTTCGTTCCAACCAAAAATGTGTTCTTATTCCTTGTGTTCCTATATCTCCTTCCTGTGTGTAGTGTTCTGGCAAAAATAGCTCGTCTTCACTGCTATTTCCCTCTTCCATAAACTTTATCTCTCCTCTAAAGATATTTTAGCTATCAGTATTCTTTTCTTCACAATATTTAATCAGTATTGCTGCATCAGGAGCCTTTAATAATATTTACAAAATTTTAATTGTTAAACAACTCTTTTCACACTAGTCAATCAAATTAATATATAGACATTATTTATTTTACACGCCTTTCACTACTCTCAGACACTCAATTTTAATTTTACATTTATTAAATATTTTCAAGTATATATTTACCCTTTTCACTCTACCTATTCTATTTCAGCAGTATTTACATGCATGTGCGTCCTCTGACTCCTATCTCCTGCCGGCTTCTGACTTTTATGTACACTACCTAGGTTTTTCAGCTGAACTAGTCTGATTCACTTCCTCAACACAGACTTAATTTACACTGCCTAGGTTTTATTTCCAAATTAATTAGCCTGATTCACTTCCTCAACACAGACTCAATTTACTCTGCCTAGGTTTATTTCCAAATTGGTGGACCTGATTCACTTCCTCAACACAGGCCCAATTTACACATAATTAGCCTCTCAATCCACTTCCTCAACATGAGGGCTTAGACAGAAATGATACACTTCCTCAACACAAAATCTGTCTTTATAAATCGCTACTCAATCCACTTCCTCAACATGAGCGCGTAATACTTCTTTTATCTTTAAGCACGCTTTATTCTCCTATCCTGCCGCAGTCCTATTTAGGCTCCTAGCGGTAACGTGCTATAGTACATCCGCCCGTTCAGTCCGAACCTACCATCGAAGAGCCCCAACACTCAGTTGAAATCCTGCGATATAAGCCACGTGATGACTATTTTATTAGCCTATTTTTGCCCATGCAGCCCCGAGCCAGTAAGTTTCGTATTTTAGTAAAATATTTATACTTAATTTACTGCTTTTTGCACTCAAAATTTATTCTAGGTTCAAGATTGAGGAGACTTTAAGATTCACACCTGGGCGGAAAATCCCGTATTCAGACACAGTTAAAATGCAGAATTTTGGTTAAACAGGTATTCTGCTTACCTTTTCTATGTGGCCACGTGTCTCAGATACAGGCTGTCCGTCCCGGTCAGAAACTCTCGGCCTCTGGACTCAATCTCCTGGCTGGCCTCGCCAATTGTCGGGTCGGAAATAAGGACCGGCCGGGCCAGTAAAAGACCTGGTCCCTACCCTAACCAACGTAATAAACTCAATAAAATTACTCTATTAGATTTCTTCTTTAGTCAAAAAACGGCGTAGTCAAAAACTTCACTGGAGACGGTCAAGAGTCTGTGCAAAAGAGTTTATTCCAATAAAGGACAGATAAACCCGAGCAACATCCCTGCAGGTCTCAGGATGGAACCGAGTTGGTGGTCAGCGAACATCGCCTTATATTCACCTTAAGCTCCACCTTGTCCCTCCTTTCAGGTGGGCGTTACATCTTAACTCCTCCTTATCTCCTCCTTCTAGGTGGGCGTTACACCTTAACTCCACCTATGGTGTTCGCTGACCATTCCTCCCCTTTGGTGGATCTCTTATCCTATACCGCCATCTAGTGGCCTTTTTCTTGTACTGTTTTACCAAATTAACCCTTTCATTAATGTTACAATTTCCACTTTTTAACTATTATTACATGTAATTATTGTTACCATTTATCTCTCTTTATATTTTTTACATTACTGGATTAGAAATCCACCAATATGTTTCAACTTCAGTCCCACCGTATTTTTTTAAAAGTTATACAGGCATAGTTTGACACCATTAAAACTTAAACACTTACAATCGTATTTTTTAAAAGAATTAATAAGGAATAACATATTTCATACATGTATAACGTGATTCAATGAACAATTACATGATTTAGCAATGCCAATCATGAGAGTGCTTTGTCTCATACAAGTTTTCTTTCGGCAGCGCAGAGCTCGGTTTCATGCAGTACCTAGCCGTACCAGGTGCCATAAATCACAACATGTCATGATCTCATTCTTGGCTTCAGTTCGCGATGATCTCAGCCCTGGCGTACGTGACTCACTGCATGTGCCTTGCTTCTAATGAGTGGGTTACGGTTGGCTAGGTTTTGCCTGCGTGGCCTGAGCAGCTTCTCTGCTCATGTAGGCTCATTAAAAAGCACACGTTCATGAATACACAGAGTATAGGAATAATGTATGATAAACACACGAATATAAGAATAAAATATGAGTTTAAACTCACTCCTTAAACACTCAGTAGGTATACACTCAGTAGTAAAACACTCAGTAGTTTAAACACTCAGTAGTACACACTCAGTAGTCAAACTTCACACTAAAAGAATACTCAGTAGTGAAACACTCAGTAGTTATAACATATTTCAAACCATTGATAAGGTGTATAAATATAGAAAAAGAACCTAACAATCAATCTAGGAATTAGGCCTTATTCAACATCAATCAATCTAGGATTTAGGCCTTAACATATTTAGGCCTTATTCAACACAGCAAGTACTTCAACTTTATTTCATACTGCTCTTTGATCTGTAGGTGGGTGTGTACTTAAAAGGAACAGAGAACAATCCAGGGTACGTGGCCGTCTACTTCTACCTGACCTCAGGCCCAAACGACAGCAAACTCAAGTGGCCGTGTCCGTGGCAGCAGGCAACTATGGTCCTGATGGATCAGCAGTCTGACATCAGACAGCAAATGAACATGCATCTAATGCTCACCACCGACCCTGACGAGATGTTCTCTGATGGTAAGAGTACGGTGGATAACTTGGCTATCCACTCATTCTGAATGGATTTTAGTGAGTTGTGTTTGTCAAACAGGGAATGACAGCTCACCTGTTTCTCTCAGGCACAAAGTACTACTGGGACAATCCCAGGAAGGTGGGCTCTAAAGTGACTGAGTCTGATGGCAGCTTTTACTATCGAGGACCAGGCTTTGGAACAACTGCCTTCATCACCCACAGCAGGCTAAAGAGCAGGAACTTCATCAAAGGAGACGATGCCTTCTTCCTCTTCAGTCTGGAAGGTGTGGAGTTTTTCAGACACTAATTAGACCACGAGACAGGACCAAAATATCACACACAGCTATACTGTATATCCAAGATCTCCATCACAGCTGTCGTCTACTTTGTCCTCAGACATATCAGGTCTACTGGTATCTCAGCCTCTTCCCCGCTCTGCAGTCCATGCTGATTCCAGTCTGATGAAGGCTGCAGACCAAGGTGCTCCACAAGGAGCTGCTAATAACCCCACAGTGGTCATAGCGATGGCAGGGTCTGCGGCAGCAGCCATGTTGGTGGTGTTCATGCTGATCGTAGTGAATGCCTGGAGGGTGAGGAAGAGACGGCAGGAGAGTGATGAGGTGTTGATCACAAAGAACATGCCTGGATTCATGGAAGTGAGTTACATTAGATCATTCACATAATTCTAAGTTAGGTTAATAATAATTTACTGTAAACTCTAAAGCAAACTGTAAACTCTTAGTTTCTGTTTGGAAAATCTGAGCTAAATGTCTCTCTGTTTCATTACAGGAGAGAACATCTCTTCTCATCACTCCATGATGTCCCAATCAAAGAAAAATAAAATCAGCACTTACTAGAAGAGAGAGGGCATTACCAAATGATCTCTATAATCAGAGTGTCACCTGAATCCTTTTCTTGTATAATCTGAATTTGTTGTTAGAAATAAAATATATTCTGACAGCATTCATGTTCAACTTATTTCTTCCCTTTAGCAAAACTTCGTCATTACCAGTCAGTGAGTGAGTGATTTATAGTAATGTGGTTACTTTCAAGGGTACCCACATTTGTTATAACAAATGAAGTCACAGCCCGAAGTCACAGCTACGGGGTTTCACTCAGCGACACTCTTGAAAGTGACGGCTTTTAAATCAGTCTCTCTCCCACTGCGCTTAAACACAGCAAGCATCTGTCTTCTCTGTCTTTTCACTGCAACTCTACATCGCGATGTAACGATATATATTATTACTTTAAAAAGTAACGGTGACAGTGAAACCTTTTCTCATACTGTGATGGTAAACTTTGCAATCAGTCTACACTCCACCTGCGTGCCGAACCGTGTGGAGGGAGGTGGGAGGGTATTAACATGACAAAACAATACGTTTCAAACCCCCCCCCCCCCCCCCCCCTCTATTTTTTTACAAATCGCACCCTGTCATAGCCTGATAAACAGATAACATGGACAAAAAAGAGGATCCATATGAGAATTTGTAAGTACAGCACGGGTCACTCAGCCTGAGAGAGAGGGAGAGGGAAAGAGGTGTGTGAGAATCCATTTCCTGTAAGCTAACTAATAATAATAACGTTTTTAATTTTAAATTAAATTTACAAAGGAAAGTTTTCAATTAAGGTTTTTATTTCATGAAAAATTCCCCCCAAAATAATTGTTATATTTATTACACTACTACACCACCATTACATTTTTCCTGTCCGCACCCCCAAGAGGCACCTCACACACCTCCAGGGGTGCGCGCACCACACTTTGGGAATCGCTGCTCCAGAATAAATGTAATACATATCCATAAGACATCAGTTAGGGTTGCAGCTACTATTGAGGACACCAAGTCCATAATACTGTCTACAAGCCCTGCATTCAGCTGGTTCCTGTTCAGTTTTACAATTGAAAGAGATAGGGGAGACTGGGGGCAATTGTAACATCTCAAATTGCACCAATCAGAAACAAAACAGAACCATGAAACTTATCATGAACGCGCTCTGTGACCATCCCTCTCTGCCTGCCGAAGGACAAGCCGATGAGACATTCTTGTCAAAGTTTTTCAGCCAAGAGTCATTTTTGAGCTATGAAAGTAATTTTTTTCATCTACAGTATTTTTCTCATACTGTCATAGCAATTAATATCTATGAATTTAAATCTTTCTTTTTTTGATCATCATTCTGTTGTCTAACATTTGATATCTTTGTCAAATATAAACTTCATTGTTTCTAGCCAGCAGGGTAGCTTGTCATGGAGGAGTTACAGAGACCAATTAAAATAGTGTCGGGCTTAGAAACAACATAAAAATATATGTTTGCTTGTGGTCATATATATATATATATATATATATATATATATATATATATATATATATATATATATATATATATATATATATTATACATTATATATAGTCCAATAGTATATCTTTGGCATTTTCATTCTGGGGACCGGGGTTCAATTCCCACCAAGAGCCAATTGCTCATGCTTTCAATATCTTCAGTGTTTACAAATGTGAAGTTGTCACAATGTTAAATACTCTAATAATAATCTATCAACATATTTATCAAGAGATCAACATTGTTTAGATTTTGGTTTGTAATAGTAGCATTATATTGAAGCTCAATATAACAAAGAATAGATGATAGCATCTTTCTAATAATGTTCAGTTTAAACATTTATATATATGAATGATCTATAACCTACTTTACTAGGGGCATAGTCCAGAGGTTCAAGTTTTTGCCTCTCAATTTGGGGATCCATTTGATGGGGAGGTCGCCTCCGATGATGTGTTGAGGGCAACTCAATGCTATGACATTTGTCATGTGTCCTTGTACCACTTAATAAAAAAGAAGTTTCAAGCAGTAATATCAATGGATCTTAAATTGTTTTAACTATATCTATATTCTTGGTAGTTTATTTTGATTCTTGGTATCTTTATGAAGGAATTATGTGTGTTGTTACAATTGCAACTGTAGCAGACCTCGGCTTACATAGTCACGTAAAATTTTAATACAGTTATGGAAATTAATATTTCCGGGAATATTAATTTATACCTCGAAAGCACCACCTAAAGATTTGCTTGTCCGCCCAAGGCTTTAGGTCCTTGAGTATAGCCTGAGAATTATACGAAGTTCGGTTAATTCATTAGTTGTTATTCTGAAATCGTAAGGTCAATCAGTCAGTCTCAGATCTGAGCGTAAGTTCTATGTATAGGGACTCTACATTCTGAATAACACACACACATACATCGCTGTGCTCAAGGTGAATTTATTAACTAACAAAAGAGAGTACAATTGTGATTGATGTGGTGATTACAGGGATAACAGTTAATATGACAACAAGGAGGTACTAACACAGGGTAGCCTATGTAAGGTTCGATTGAATTTCAGTTTATTGTAGAGGGAGAGAATTCTACGAGTATGAGGGAACACCAACGAGTCACAGAGTGTTGTTTGTTTTGGCCTACCGTTGCCGCAGGTCCCGTGGCGAGGCTCGACTGCCGGTTGGCTCGGGAAGTCGGTTCTGGCCCGATCCCAGTGGCGTTTTCGAGTTGGATTGAAACGCGCTTGCAGCAACGGGCTGTCAGCCAAGGCTTTTGCTCTGATCTCAGTTCGTTTGGTGTCGCTATAGGGCCCACTCAGGGTTCTGTCGTCAGAGCCGTGGTTTCATTTATTCAAGGCCATAAATGAAGGCTTCTGAGTTTCTGGTCCAAAGTTGCTCACAACGGTCGGATGAGGTTGCAACAACAAAATCAAATAAACGCACACATTCACCGTAGGTTCGCGAGGCTTCAGGAATATAGGCTATTTAATGTTGCTGAGGTTAAACAGGCATCTCCAAACAGAATTAAAAAAATCAAATCTCCCGCTAAGAAGTTTGGGATTCAGGGTCGTAGCTTTCTTTTAAGTACGAAACGAAAATCGGAATTTCAAAAGTAAAGGAAGTGAAGAGAACGTATACGTTTAGTTTCAAGAAAGTTTAAAAAAAAGAGTTTTCTTTGAAGAGGAAGAAGAAGCTGGAACAAAAGACAGCAGGGCCTTTTTATTGATCCCGCTAGGTAGTGACGTCAATGTTGGGGATGGTCTCCCAACGTTGCTAAGGTGTTAACTTTTTGGGATAAAGAAATATACGTTGCGCGTATTTCCCTTTGATCTCTCTCTCCACAATATCGACATTTGGAAAAATACTTAATTCTAAACATTCGGATAAAGACAGTTAAAACAAGGCTAAACACTATGGAAAAAGGTTATAATGGTTATATAAAACGTAACAAAGCTTGATTACCTGTCCTCAGTATACTTGCTGGTTACTGGTTTTAACTCATGAGACAATTTAGATGTAAGCATGACAGTAAAATTTCGTTTATGCAATTACATGGTGATAGTTAGGCCTACTTAGCAATTCTGTCAGTGTAAGCTGAGTTTTAAACACTTGCGTGTTATACCTTTCTTGTCCCCTTGGTGGCGCTCGGGTAACACAAGAAAAGAGTAGACATTCCACTTTAACTGAGAGGCTGGTGATGCATATGAGCGTTTCCATGGATAATTTAGTAAGAAATTGTATATGAAACATTTAACTAAAGCATTAGTTAGCATTGAATAGACAGTGATTACTAGGGAGTAACAGGAATGACTTAAGACAACACAGAAAGAGGTTAGAAAACTAGTTCAAGATTGCTTTCTTATGGGTCTGCTAGTCTTCAAACATCACTAAAGGATAACAACAGGGTTATTACTTACTAAACTCAGAGGCAAACACCGCTGCTCACTTAGCAAGGTTATTATTTAAACAGAATAAACACAGTTATAATGGAACTTGCTTGGTTCGAGAAACAGGGGTTTTTATGGTCTCTCTTCTCTGCATTCCTGGCTTTTCGCACAGGTTATCAGAGAATGAAATGGTGGTTTGTGGCTCAGCCGTTCTGTGGAGAGAAAAGAGTCAGGTTGAGGCTGGAGGTGACCTGCTGGAGGGAGAAGGGGTCAGATCGCCCCTTTTCCTGTCCTGTGGACTGTCTTTAGTGACACCTTTACGGCTAGAAAGGTTCACTAAGGCTCTTTGAATACACAATCCTTAAGCGATTCATTGTCTGATTGAGTCTCTTTCGGTCCTTACCAACACTAGGCGATGTCTCTGGGTTTTACATGTGAAAAGGTCAACTCTTGGGGAGGGAAATTTCCCTCCCTCTTTTGACACCATCTGACCTTCTTTGAAGTGCGTCTGGTTGAGTTCACAACACAACCCATATGCTGTTACATTCGCCCCTGCAGGTAGGGGCAGATGTAACATTTTACATCAAGTGTTTGAATCAATATTGTGACTTTAATATTGTTTGTAAAAACATTTGATGACTGTTAACAAGTAAAACACAGGTACAAGTTACTTCTATAAAAATTGTATCCAAGTAGTTCAAGAAGTTTTTGAGTTACAACCAAGAAACCAAAAATTGTTACAATTGCTCCCGGTCTCCCCCTACTACACACCTGAACTTACATCTATCACAAGATTGTCAGATCAAGGACGCCTTTCACATCTGACACCAAAGAGCATCTCTGAAAAAGAGGATATTATTTCAATTTCCAAGGGTAAAACCTTGCTGAAGCTGCTGTGAGGGTTTGCCATTCATCTGCCAGATGCTGAGTGTAGTTCCAGCAGCAGCCACAGAGAGGCACCACACACAACAGTATTGGTCAGAGTGATTGTAAAAAGGGATTACGTACTGACCCCTGTGTGCAATCTAAACAGTAAATAGTCAAGTCATGTTGTTACACATAACTGTAGAGATGGGAGGTGACCGACAAAGGAAGCTGTGAGCAGGTCTGAGGGGTGAGGATGATGGAC